GCCATGAAACAAGATTACCTCCAAAAAAATGTGCAATATCCTGAAGTAAATCATCGATCTGTCAAAACCCTGCCCAATCAGCATTAGTATAGGCTTCAACATGCAAGTGTCCATGATTGCCAAACTATATCCCCTTACCAGGTGAACCCTTGAGGTAGCGAAAAACATGATGAGCTGCCTCAAGGTGAGGTGATTGTGGAGCATGCATAAATTGACTAATCACACTAACAACGTAGGCAATATATAGGCGCGTGAGAGATGGGTAAATCAATCTCCCAACCAATCGCCGAAATCTTCCCACATCATCTAATGGGTCTCCATCTACATCATTAAGCCTATGGTTTTGCTCAATGGGAATATCAATAGGTCTACCTCCACGCCTGCCTGTTTCAGCCAACAAATCTAACACATACTTCCGTTGAGAAATGAACACCCCTTTCTTCGATCTACACACCTCAATGCCAAGAAAGTGTCTCAATGATCCGAGTTCTTTAACCTCTAACTTTGTCCCCAATAATGACTTCATTCATGGAATCTCTTCTAGATCATTTCCAGTGATAACAATATCATCAACATATACAATAAGGGCACTGGTGCAACCCTGGTGCTTCTTGATGAAGAGAGTACGATATGCCTGACTCTGTGTGTACCCTACTCTTTTCACAGTAGTGTTGAACCTCTCAAAGCAAGCACGTGGCGACTGCTTTAAACCCATACAAGGCTTTATTTAGCCAGCACACTAAATTATGACCATTGGCAAGCTTAAACCCTGGTGGCATAATCATATACACCTCTTCCTCCAAGTCACCATCAAGGAAAGCATTCTGTAAAGGCCAATTCAAATTAGCTGCCAAAGAAAGAAGAACACATATAGAGTTCATCTTGGCAACTGGAGCAAATGTTTCCAGATAATCAATCCAATAGGTCTGAGTGAAGCCCTTTGCAACTAACCGAGCATTATATCTGTTAATTGTTCCGTCTGCATGATACTTTATTATGTAGACCCATTTACAGCCTACTGGTTTCTTACCCCTAGGTAAATGGAACAATATCCCAAGTACCATTCTTCTCAAGGGCTTTCATCTCTTCAAGCATGGATTCCTTCAATGGAGTTTGACTGAGAGCATCTAAAACACTAGAAGGAATAGATACACAGGAGATACACAAAGTGAAAGCACGATATGTTGGAGATAAGGCATCATAGGATACAAACTGAAATATGGGATGTTTTGTACAACTACGAACACCCTTATGATAGGTCATAGGGACATCAAGATCAACAGGAATACTAATGTGAAAAGAATCAGGAGTATCAATGTCAACTGAGGAATTACCTGGATCGAGGGAGACTTCTTGGTCATAGGGTGAGTCAATGACTTGTTTTGCCCTCCTCTTAGTGTAGACAATTGGATGCTTTCCCTGCTGCAAATCATTAGTGTTAAGAGGACTAGACATAGGCACCTTAGTAAGAAGCTCCCCCTGAATGGGAACAGGCAAAGGAAGGGGGCATTCCTTCTGAATGGACGACGGATTCTCTACCTGTATAGTAATCTCCTCCTGTAGAGAATCCCAAGTAGTAGAAAAAAAGGAACATACTCAAAGAATGTGACATCCATAGAGACAAAGCGACGACGAGTGGTAGGGTTATAACACCGATATCCTTTCTGAGTGGCGAAGTATCCAAGAAAGACACATCGGATTGCCTTAGGGTCCATTTTGTCATTGAGATGATGAATGTGAACATAACAAACACAACCAAACACTTTGGAGGGGCAGTAAACAAGGCAGTGTGATGGAGTAAGACAGAGAAGGGGGATTGATAGGTAAGAACCTTAGAAGGCATGCGATCGATAAGGAATTTAGCTGTTAAGGTTGCATTAGCCCAATAATTTTTAGGTACTCCCATCCCAATTAGAAGAGAACGAGTCACCTCCGTAATATGACAGTATTTTCTTTCAGCTACACCATTCTGTTGTGGTGTATCAACATAGGAGGTTTGATGGAAAATCACATTATTAACAAAAAAGGAGGCAAGACCACCATACATAAGCTCTCCTCCATTATCAGATCGAAGGATTTTGAGGGGACAACCAAATTGAGTACATATCATCTTATGAAAGGTTTTATAAATTGAATGAACTTCATCTTTGGTTTTAATAAGATAAAGCCAAGTATATCGACCAAAGTCATCAACAAACACAACAACGTAACGAAAACCAAGTAACGAAGTAGTAGATTCAGGACCCTACACATCATAATGAACAAGTTGCAAAGGAGTTGTACTTTTATTAATACTAGTAGGATAAGAAATACGACATTGTTTGGCAAGAACGATTGTTTCACAATTTAACTCAAAAGATTCAACAGAAGCAAATTGGGAAGCACATGCTTCAAAACAGGAAGAGGTAAATGACCTAGTCTATTATGCCATTGCATTAACAGATCTTTATTGACATTACTATTCCTAACACTAGATTGATATGAAACATAATAAGAAGTTGGCCTCGCATTCAGGAAATACAAGCCTTGTCCTCATGTCAACTTCCAATCGTCTTCCCCGTATCCAAGTCCTGAAACACACAGTGAGATGGAAAAAAGGTTACACTACAATTCAAGCCTTTTGTAATGTGACTGACAGAATGGAGGTTATTGATAAACCTTGGGACATGAAGAACATAAGATAAGGTAAGATTAGGAGGCAGAAATAGTGCCCTTCACCGCAATGGAGGTGAAGGTGCCATTAGCCACTCTAACCTTATCTTTACCAGAACATAAACTATACGAAGAAAAATCAGATGCCATTCCAATCATGTGATCAGTGGCTCCTAAATCAATGATCCAGGGTGGCCCACCAGAAAATGTGGAAACCTGATGTACCGAATGAGAGGTACTAGTCTGAGCAAAGTTAAAGGTGGAAATGGAGGCATTTTGAGCTAGTAGATGTTGAAGAGCATCAAGTTCAGCCCCGGACAAAGAACTCAGTGACCCTGAGGAGGCATGACCAGTAGAAGCAGTCTCATGCTCTGTAGTATGTGCCGTAGATAACCCCCTAAATGGACTAGGCCTTGGCCTAGCATGAGCAGGAGTAGGATGACCGTGTAGATTCCAACATGTTTCCCTAGTATGGCACGTACGCCCATAGTGAAAACACCTCTACTTGCTCTTGTCATCCTACTTCTCTCCTTTTGGAGGATTGGACTTGTTCCATTGTTGTGCCGGCAAGAGCAAACCTCTTAGCTAATGGTATTTCTAGCTCAGGCTTAGTGTATACATGTTCAGACATGGCCTTCATTCTACTCTCCTCAACCTGGATATATGAAAAAACATCTCTAACAAAAGTAAGGGCTGGATACCTGCCTAACACTTAAACCCTGGCATGCTTGTATCTCGAATGCAGACCACCCAAGAACTCATAGATTCGATTTCTTTCTACCATAGCACGAAATGCTTTAACATCAACTGCACACACAGGTATGTAGTCTTGGTAGTGATTAACTCTTCCCATTTACTACGTAAAGTGTGGTACTATGTAGCCAGAGTTTGGTTCTTGCTTGAATCTTGAAATCTGTTGTTGAAGTTCATACAGTTTTGCAAAATTACCAACCGAGGAATACGTCTCTTCCATAACCGTCCATAGCTTTTTAGCTATTTTCAAAAATAGAAACCCTTTATTGATTTATGGCTGCATTGACTGCAACAACCACGTCACAACTAGTGCATTATTTGCACTCCACTCTTTGAATTCAGGATCACTCTTGGAGGGATACGTGGTAGTCTCTTCGATATGGTCGATCATCCTACAACCAGTGATATGCATACGAGCATATTGAGCCCACTCCATATAGTTCGTCTCATTCAGCCTAACAGTCGTAATACAAAGGCCTAGATGGTGATCACTACTCCCTAATACTGGAGTTAGACTTGGAGAAGACACAACTTCTTTTGAAGTCACCTCTGAGCCAGACATTTTATCAAACAGTTTTTGGGTATACAATCCTCACAAATAAAAGCAGTAACAAAATACGTAGAGAACCACCTCTCTAACACACAAACTTCAACTAGAAAGATTACCATATCTGAGATACATAAAAAAGCGACCACACAGTCACCACACAGACCCTAGAAAACAACAAAGTAGACCATACCAGAATCGCGAAGGACGAAGAAAAGCCATTGTTGCAGAACCATGCGAACACGAAAAAAAAAAAAAAAAAAAATAGAGACTGCAATAGATTAAAAACAGGTCCAAAAAAAAAAAATTTGAGGCCTCCTCCCAAACCTCGAGCAAAGGCGTGCTGCCCCTGCGACCTCCAGCCAATTCATCGCGGAGTTGGATCCACGGTACATATGGATGTGATTAATATAACTTCCTTGCAAACAAATCCCATCTTGGAATCTCTTCAAAACCCTTCACACCACAAACTTGCCCTAGGGTTTTAACTACACACTAGAGCTTTACAAACCATGCTCTAATGCCATGTTGACTTTAAAAGATAATCAATTCAAGAGTGAAGTATAAGAAGAAAAAGAGAAGAAAGAGGATGAGAGAAAAAGAAAGAGATAGGGAAAGAGAGAAAGAATGAAAGAATACTTTCATCCTTCCACCGCATTCTATTTACAGTAACTAGTTTTGGCAATTACACATAAGCCCCAACATTATATAAGTAATAACAAATAATCCCCTGACAACAGAACATTCTTCCTCAATGTGACATTGGACGTGAATTGCAGTGATATGTAAAAATGGAACGGGTATGCATTATGCCATGTTACATTGTAGATAGTGATTTATAATATATATAAGTTTCTCAATTTAGTTGTAGGAATGTGAATATATTATTTATAAACGAAAGATACTGATGATGTGATTTCATGAGCTAGGCTACAAAATAAAGAGCTGAAATGCGGTATAGACAAGTAGTAAACGCTCCCTTCGCTGAACAACTGCATTTTTTCAGAGTTATTAATCAATATTATATCTCAGTAATTAGGAAACTTACACAAATGTGCCATTCATGGAGAACCGGAGGCCAAGAAATATGTCAACCAAAAATTTTAATTGTCCATTCGCCTTAACAATCTAAAATGACAAAATTATAAGGTTGAGGAAACCAATTAGTCAACCAAGGACATATAAGATGTTTTCAAGAGGATATAACCATAGAAAAACCAAAAGATTATGAATTGTATATAATTTAATAGCTTTTCAGCACCTGCATGCCCATAAGGCCATTGGAAGCATTCTCTAACCAACTATCCGTCTCTTGCTGCATTGCAAAGAGGTCAAATCAGCTGAAGCAGAGTAAATTATTTAGTATTAAATAAAATAAAATACTTAATTGACATCAAGTTTAAAAGCAGCAGACATTGCTCCACTGAGTAATAGATACACCAGAATTATTAGTACAAGTTTCTGTGTGTGTCTGTCAGAGAGGGAGAGGGTTGGGGGGGAATGACTTCGTTGGCAACATTTCTCTTGTTCCTTCCTACTTTCCAATTGCCAAAACAGGGGTTTTCAAAAATTCCTTTTTACTTGAACAAGAAAAAAGATCATTGCTGTCAAGATTAGCATGCCAAAAAGGCAGTTTTTTATTACCTCATTGTTGCAACAACAGGAACTAGGATAAGATCATATAGCATTAACATAACCTCAACTAAATTTGTGCAAGGATTTGGAAGATTTTAGTCATCCATGAAGTTAAGGAAATCAAAAGCGATTTTAAACTAAAGTACCTTACTAAATGCACACTAGAAAAAACCATGAAGTCAGTCAAAATAAAACAATCAAAATTCTATCAAATACTTTTTGAATTAGATAATTTGATACATAAATCACACTGCCACTTCTTCAAGGACCAAATTTCCTGATGAGTCAGTGACTAATACCTTAACCCTTGTCTGTTGGATACTTCAATCGTCTCTTTGGAGCTACTAGTGGCACCATGTTTTATGGTAACCCACTCCCTGTTCCGCCTATTGGGATGGGTCTGGGGAAGGATTAAATGGGATAGGGGCGGGTATAGGGAGAAATATAAAAACCCAATCTTGGTTTGAGGGGGGCTCGTGAATAAAGAGCTTTCCCCCCAATTAATTATGTACTCTTTTAAGCGATCATGATAAAATTTGGACGTACTTTATAAGCCCTCCATTATGCAGATTAACTCAGGGCACTGGAGGCACTTATCAATCTCACTCTCTCTTAGGCTCTTAGCTATGGATTTAGCAAATATAGGAGCAGGTCTCATAATGCCACAGTCTAACCTAGCATTCCTCTATTGCCAAATAGCCCACAAGGTTGTGGAGACAAGCATTTTGTTCACCTTGACAGAATGGAATCTATCCCAGAAACAATGAGAAAATAACAGGAACTGATCACCCCCTTCATGCACAAAAGAAGGCATATCCCAGTGTAAGAAATCACAGTGACGAAGCCATAGTTGCCACCGTCAATTGCCAAAGATCGTCATTGCCATTGTGCAACTGGAGATAATTATCTAAGATCTTTTGATTTTGTTTTGATTTTCCAAGTTTTTATTCTTTGCGATTATGAAGTAAGAGCTGATTTATATCAGATGTGAATAATTGATAAGATCTTAGTGTCAGTTAGTTACCTCTTGTCCAGGGGCACATTCGGAATTAGAGTTATATTCAAGCACAAAAGGTTAATTTTCAAGTCCAAGGGTGAAAAGGGGACACTCATGTTTGCAATCAACAATTAGGGTTCATGTATTTATCAATTAAGGTATCATATTCCATGTTTGATTTTGAAAAATCATTGTGAGACGCATAAAAGTGGTTTTGTGAAACTTCATAAAAGTAACATCCTATTTGGAGAAGGGCAAGGTACTTTGATCGATCAAGAGATCAATCAAGGCCCACTAACTTGGTATTGATCAATCGATACACTGCTTGATCTATCGATCGACACACTGCTTGATCTATTGAGCTTTGTGGAAACTGAGTTTCCTTTCTTGATTAAACACTCAAAATCCTAAGTTTTCTAGGTCTCTATGCTCTATATAAATACATATGGTATTTAGAAAACTAAGAGATGTAGAGCAAGAGAGAGTGCATGCATCATATAGCCTAAATTGTTTTTATTAGAGAAATCTAGCAATCTTATGCTAGAGTTTTGTTTGGCTTTAATTCATCATACCAATGGATTGGTGAGTGATCATATATGTGTTGACTATCTATTGTTGTTGTACCTACGATGACTTCAAGACACTCAAAAGTAATCCAACATAGGACGGTTGGAAGAGTGGACCAGTGATCAAATTTTTTGGGAGAAGTAGATACAGTGAGGAGCAGATTTGTTGATGGAGCGTCTGAAAGCGTGGATACTCGAGTGGAGGGTTTGGCCGTAGTCTGCCTTAGGGTGTAACTAGAGATTTTAGGATTTGAAATTTGTTGTAGTTGTAAATCTTTTTCTCGTACAGTGGATTAGATCTGTTTAGACTAGTTTTTTTCCCATAGGATTCCTATGTAAAAGTGGCCGTGTGTCCATTGTGCTATTTAATTTATTGGTTTTAATTTGCATGATTATTGGTTTTGTGTTTAGATGCATAATGGAATAGAAACATGGGATTCATGTAGCTGCCCCAAGTAATTGGGAAACTTCTTGTTATCTAGATGCATGATGGATTGATTCTAGTTTTTACAATGTTAGTTTTATTTTTAATTAATCATTAATACAGATAAAATTCAAAAATTAGTTAAAAAAATCAAACTTAGCTTTCAAGATCATTTCACCCCACCTCTAGGTCTAAAGGCCATGCGCTACTCTATATTAAAGCATAGGTTTACGGTCCTATATTCTCAGTTACATATTTAGATTTGGGTCGCGAGCATTTAACATCCCAGTAGTATGCATATAGCTCATATAACCCCATATAGGTTCTGAAAACCCCCTAACGTTTATTTTAGGGGCGAACAAGGACCTCCCCTCATTCGACCGTTAATGGAGCGAGGAGCGATAAAAATAGTAAATTGCCCTTCCTACAATAAAATAAAAAAGTAAAAAATTCACTTAATGTAAAATGACTATTATGACCTATATTAAACAAATTCAATTAAAGAAGTGCATTTTCGGTAATTAAATAGTAAAAAAAAGTAAACAAAATTCAGTTATTGTTAAATTTCAATTAAAAATTAGTAAAAAATTCAATCAAAGAAGGGCATTTTTGGCATTTAATACAATTAATTAGTCATGTGCCACATGATTTGTTAACGGTACTTTTCTAATGGTTGACTACCGAAAAGCCTTAGTTTGCAACATTTTTTAATTTTTAAGGGAGTTATATACCCAAAGTAAAAGAGAAGGGTGTTATTTGCTCAAAAAGTAAACTATAGGGGTGTTTTATATACTTAGCCCTTTAGATTTCTACATTAATTGATATTTATAATACTTTTTTGGGTTGGGTATATGGGATAAATATAAAACCATCAAGATTTGGGGCAGGTTGGCTAAGGAAGACACTTTCAATACCATCCCATAGCCAGTCCTAATACTGTTCTTAATCACTGTTACAGTCATTTGTCTCTGATACAATGACCAAGCCCCCTAACTTCCCTTTTGTTGCCAACCAATTTACCCCAAGGTTTATGACTGGATTAATTCTAATTTTATCCTATCAATCTTGCAATGCCCACACTCAAGACCCATATCAAATCTACAATTCCATTCTATAAATGTTTCCAGATCAACCAATGTACAAGAACTTCACACAATAAAAATTTAAAAAGAAAACAAGGGCTCTATGGAATTGTAGTCCTTTTCCCCCCTAAACATGCTCAGTAAAATCTGTTGCCATCTAGGACCTACCTGGGAACTCCATATCATTTGCCATTCTCCCTCTGCGAGTCTTGGTTCACCTTCAGCTACATCTTGATTTAAGGAGATAAACTCATCGATTGCCTTCAAATGTTGTAGCATGCCAAAAATCAGCAAGCAAAGACTATTAAGAATAGTACATTGATGATGAAATCATCTTTGAGATCTGATTATAAGTTTGGAAAGGCAATCTTACCTCTCTCACTCCTGTACCCGTTGAAATCACTGATAGCAATTTTTGCCTCGGTTCAGTTTTCTTTTGCAGCACAAATGTGGTGCCCTGCACTACAACGATGTAGCTAAATTCCTTAATCCCTAGCAGATCACAGTCTAAAAAAGGAAGTTTGGGCAATAAATGAAGCAGTTCAATCAATTATTTACTGGTGCTTACATTATGACTAAGAAGCAAGCAAAAAAGAGAAGTTGGAGATCATAATGTTCCTATACCTTGTTTCCTCTTGAAATACGGAGGTTTCCTGAATTGGACAAATATGTAGTGTCTAACCAACCTTTTGCTTCATCTCCAAGAAGCCTGAACGGTACTGGATATGGAACCTTAAATGGCAGAAATTTGAAAGAAAAGGCTGCCCTATCAAATTGGAATAGGATTCGTTTTCCATCTTTGATTGATGCAGCAGCCTGAGTAAAACAAACGATGCATAATGTAAGTATAAAACTATGTATAACAAATATAACCCTTACTAATGAAGTCATCAGGAAGAAACATACACACGCATAAAAAGAAAGAAAGAAAGAAAAAAAAAAAAAAAAAAAAAAACTTGTTCATTTATCTGGTTTGCCAAAGTTCATGAGAGAATATATCAAGGATCACCGATTTTTAATTTTTTATCTGCACGTATTGAGTAGATTTTTCTTATTTCTTCTTTTGCCCAGTATATTTTTTTAATTTATTTATTTATTATTATTTTTTGGTTGGAGGGGGGGGGGGGGGGGGGTGGGGGAGTTGAGGGGATTTTATGAAAAACTGAAAAGAGATGAGAAAAGGAAATTGAAGGAAAAATCAGAAGGATTCAACTGTTCATCCTTTTTACTATTTTTTAAATTTGTTTATGATCTAAAGAATATATTCATATATCTAATATCATAGAGAAATCATTCCCAAATATTAAATTTCTATACATCATAATTCCTTCAGAAAACAAGAGGGAAACCCAACACAAGAAGACAAAAGCCCTTAGTGCAAAAACTAATGAACGCTGCATATGATCTGAGACTTATCATTCTGTCATTAACATAATGCATAGAGTCAGAGATAATAAACAGCCACAGATAATTTATTTTCTGGATACGTAACCCTCATAACTGTAGGAAATAACAATCTCACTATGCATTTTATAGCCTTTAATTTAATAATGAAAAATATTCACACACTACCAATCTTCTAATTCCATAATCACTATCACTAGTAACATTACAGGAAACCTTTAAACATTCTCAGTAATTAGCAACATTAAATCTTGTGCCTTTGTAATTGCTGAGCTTTAGGTAATAAATGTGATGTTGTGGCCAGAATTTTGTTTCGGCCCGTGTTGCATTGCAACTCAGTTTTGACCCAAAAAATGGCCTTTGCGTAGGCAACATTAAATTTCTATACATCATAATTCCTTCAGAAAACAAGAGGGAAACCCAACACAAGAAGACAAAAGCCCTTAGTGCAAAAACTAATGAACGCTGCATATGATCTGAGACTTATCATTCTGTCATTAACATAATGCATAGAGTCAGAGATAATAAACAGCCACAGATAATTTATTTTCTGGATACGTAACCCTCATAACTGTAGGAAATAACAATCTCACTATGCATTTTATAGCCTTTAATTTAATAATGAAAAATATTCACACACTACCAATCTTCTAATTCCATAATCACTATCACTAGTAACATTACAGGAAACCTTTAAACATTCTCAGTAATTAGCAACATTAAATCTTGTGCCTTTGTAATTGCTGAGCTTTAGGTAATAAATGTGATGTTGTGGCCAGAATTTTGTTTCGGCCCGTGTTGCATTGCAACTCAGTTTTGACCCAAAAAATGGCCTTTGCGTAGGCATTTAGGGTTTGGAGTGGGATATGAGAGAGCACTGAAAATCGCAGGAAAGAGAGTGAGTGAGAGAGCTAGGGCTTGGGGGCATTATGCTTGTAATCTTGATTTTATCATGAAATCTTTTGCTGGATCATCACCGTGGACGTAGGCTCATACCCAACCACGTAAATTTTTGTGTTCATTGTGTGTGGCGTGTTTACTTTTCCATTTGATACTTGATTTGTTCTTGGTTTGCAGCGTTTGCCGTAACAGAAAATAACATAATAGATTAAAAACAAACAAAAGCATTTGATCGGTTGATCCTATACTTGGTAGATGGGTGAAGTAGTAGAGTGGGGAAGAGAAAGGGAAGGATGGAAAGAGTTCTCATATTTTGTTAGGGATGAAAAGGATGGATAAGGAAAAGAGGAGATGGAGGGTTTCCTCCAGGCCCACTATTTACTTTGGCTCATAAGTGGACAGAAATAAGGGAAAGAAAGGAACATTCTCTTTTACATTTTTTTCCTCCAACAATCATTGCATAACCTTCTTCTTTTCTCTTCTCTAAATGATAGGGAAAAGGGATGTCACCTTTCTCTAGCGTAACCATTCCATTTTTCTTACCTTCTATCCTGCCAAACGGAGTGTAAATTGTGTCAACGAGAATAACATGTTGTTTCCGCAAGAATACTTTGATTTGTCTACTGGTCAAGCCAAGGTTTTACCAAACTTATAAATACTGCAAAAGTGTGAAGTTTTAGTTTTCAAAACCCATACTGCAGGCTGGCAGAGAAAAAATTGCTCTTCATAGCAAAATATTTCCAGCAAAATCCGTTATATAGCTTTGCATGAGAGATGGTATAAAGGCTGAATGGAAGCTATGAGAATATTTTATATGAATGTAGTTGTGTGCATACGTTCATAAGCACATAGAACGTGTCCCTATCGCAGGAATAGCCACTCCTCTGCCATTAAGTGCCCTATGAAGACACATCAATGAAAGAAAATCTGAGTGATACATGCCGCATAAATTACTGAGGTCAGTCACACGCCTTTTTTTATGATGACAGCTGCATGGTGGTATAGCCACTTTTATGACAAGGTATGCTCTCATACAGAAGCATTTTTATTCATCAAACAACAGATTGCAGAAAGTAAAACGCAAATGTGATACATAGTCATCTAGAATTTTCATGCAATTACTTCTTAAAGTTAATAATACCTTCACAAATATAAGTAACCAGGGCAATTTGTCAAAACAATTAAAGATAATGAATTCATACCTCTACTTTCAACTCGCCTATCAGATCAGAGAATCTAACAATGTTGGACACGCGTGGGTCATTCGTTCGAAGGTATACCTCTTGAAATACACTGAAGTTGTCAACGCCAACAAATGTTCTCTACAGATGTATACAAAGCATTTAACAAACATCATTAGGAAGTGTGACCAATCACTATTTAAAAGGTTTATTACTCATGATCACTACAAAAAGTATTTACTCATTAAAAATTCAAGGCCTTGATAGGGTAAAGCTATTTTAAAATGCCTACAATTCCGAATATATGTGATTGTTTCCCAAATTCATACACTTTAGCCAAATTTCAATTTTTAACTTTATTTAGTTTTTCATCTTTTAATTTATTTGTGTTCATTTGTGACCATTATTGACTTGCCAAATGATCTGCACGTGAATTGTTATATACATAGTTCCTTACCATTAGATTTGTGGATTGGGTTTGCATCTATGCATGCCAAATGAGTTTGTGATGCATGTTACGTAACAAAACAAAGATTGCTTGAACTGCATCAGGGTAGCAAACTAACCATTTGCATTATGCCCTAAGCTGGTTAAAGTTGCAAGGGAAGGATTTAGCAATGTATCTAAGTGGTTGCATATATGGATCATTTGGTAGCACGTGACCTAAAATTCTGCATTGGAAATAGAGTGCATTATGGTGCCAACTAATTAGATGGTCCTTGTGAAATGACTGTGAAAGAAACTTAATGATCTGTGATTTGCAACCCTTTCAATCTTTAGAGACTGACTACCCTCTATCTTGACATGATATATCAAGTAATCTTGAGAAACCTTATTATCCTAAGTTGTTTATCATGCAGATTTATTTGACGGGGCCCACTAACTATTCGATGCTAACCCCAATAATCACCATGTAAAAGATATTGGTACATAAAATAAAATTTTAGTACAGCAGTCCTAAAATTCTAGTAATTATTGTCCGCGGAAAATGTCATTCAGATATAATTTTTTTATTTCATATTGATTTTGGCTAGGTTTTGATTTTGTTTTAGCACCTTTTTGGCTTGATTATGCCAACTATGCTATTACTTTTAGTTTCTTTTCCCAGCTTCTAAATTAGTTAGCACAACAACGAAGGATGCAACGCAAACAATCTACAATTTGTTTATTTATGGTTAAGGCAATTGTTATATGTACCAATGATAGTGAATGTGTTGGTGTCCTACGATGGTTACAAAAACACATGCTTTTTCACTTTTAAGCACTAGATGCCAAGGGACTTGAATGAACATGCATCTCTGACATTGTAAACTACACTTTCCTTGATGACCAGTGTCAAGACCACCTAGACTACTCAGGTGGCCATGACAGGCTTCCATTAGGCACCTTAATCTAAGTAGCCAAACCAAAACTTCTACTTGATATTTGATAGAATTATGATTACTGAAAAAGGAAAGAAGGAAAAAAATAGGACTGGTGGCTTAACATACGACCATTATAAAAGTATCAAGCCATTGAAAGCATGGTTAAAAATTGGAACATATTGCCAATGGTATTCTCTAGAATCTCTACATTGGAAATCTTTCATTAGATAAAGTCATAAGGAAAAAGATTAAATGTTTAACATTTATCGATCTGTGCCTGGTTGATGTGAGTTCAAAATCATGAGAGAGAGAGAGAGAGAGAGAGAGAGCAGACATTTACTTGTATATTCCACAGAACCCTAATAAGCCTATGTAGGCTTATATATAGGATACAAGACTGACTTAATAACACAAGGGCCCTAGTAATTACATAACGACCCAACATATATATATATATATATATATATATATAAAACATTCTAACACTCCCCCTCAAGCTGGAGAATATATATCAAATAATCCCAACTTGGAACAAATAGTTCTTAACCGGTTATGACCCAATGCTTTGGTAAACATATCAGCTAATTGATCTTCAGACTTCACGAATGGAGTAGAGATGCTCCCACGTAATATTTTTTCTCGAATGAAATGACAATCAACTTCAATATGTTTGGTCCTCCCATGAAACACAGGATTTGATGCAATGTGAACTGCTGCTTGATTATCACAGAACAATGGAGTAGGAGCTTCAACTGTCAACCCAAGTTCTTTTAGAAAATGTTGTATCCATGTCAACTCACTAGTGGTATGGGCCATTGCCTTATCCTCAGCTTCAGCACTAAATCGAGCTACCACCGTTTGCTTTTTACTTCACCATGTAACAAGATTTCCTTCTACAAATGTGCAGTAGCCTGTAGTAGATCTCCTATCTGAAGGAGAACCAGCCCAATCGGCATCTGTAAAACCTTCCACCCTGAGATGACCATTTGATTTATATAGTAACCCAAAACCTGGAGTTTGCTTGAGATATCAAATAATCCGAAGAATAGCAATCCAATGTGGCATTCTAGGGGCTCCCATGAACTGACTTACAACACTAACTGCATATGAAATATCAAGTCGAGTGATAGTGAGATAAATTAATTTCTCAACAAGGCGACGAAATTTGCCCGAGTCATTAAATAGATCACCCTCATCAGACACAAGTTTTGTATTTGAATCCATATGAGAATCAACCGGACGACCACCCAACATACTTGTTTCTTCTAATAAGTCCAACACATATTTTCATTGGGATAAACTTATACCCTTTTTGGATCTAGCAACTTCAATACCCAAGAAATACCTAAGTTTACCCAAGTCTTTAGTGTGGAATCGATATTGCAGAAACAACTTCAACTTAGCAATGCCTTCAGAATCATCACCTGTGATCACAATATCATCTACATACACCACAAGAAATATGAAGCCAGCTTTAGTGCGCTGGTGAAATACCGAATGGTCGGTCTGACATCTGTTAAGACCAAATTTTAATGCCAACTCAGAGAATTTTCCAAACCAAGCCCATGGAGATTGTTTCAATCCATAAAGGGCCTTTTTAAGGCGACAAACAGTGTGAAGATACTCCCCCTGAGCAACAAACCCAAGTGGTTGCTCCATATAAACCTCTTCTGCTAAGTCACCATGCAAAAAGGCATTTTTAACGTCTAACTAAAACAGAGGCCAATGTCTATTAGCAGCAAGAGAAATCAAAACACGAATAGAAGAAATCTTAGCAACGGGGGCAAACATCTCATCATAGTCAATACCATAAGTCTGGGTATAACCTTTGGCAACAAAACGTGTTTTTAAACGCTCAATTGACCCATCTGGAAGATACTTCACAGTATACACCCAGCGACAATCCCGCACAGTCTTAGGAACAAATGTAGTAGACAACAGAGAGGAAAAACATGAGAAGGATGGCGATAAGGAATTATAAGAGACATAATGAGCAATGGGATGATTAGTGACACACGAGCGAGTATCTTTATGAAGTGCAATAAGCAAGGAATCAGACACAGTGGATTGTGTTGGATCCAAAGACTCTGAAGACGATGGAGGAGGCACGACAGTAGATGGCTTTGGTCTTCGAGTGTACACCTGTAACAGGGCTGGCGAAGGAGATCTAAGTTGAAGAGAAAGTGAGGGAAGAGGAACCGCAGGAAGAGGCGACTCAGGAGTGATATCAAGAAGTGAATCAGTATTTGAAAAATATGGGATGGACTCACAAAAGGTTACATCCGCGCTAATAAAGTACCGTTAAGAAACAGGACTATAGCAGCAATAACCTTTATGAGAACGAGAGTATCCAAGAAATACACACTTTGTGGCACGTGGGTCTAGTTTATCAAAACCAGGACCAAGATTGTGGACATAACATACACATCCAAAAACTCTAGGAGTAAGAGAAAACAAGGGAGAATCAGGAAATAAAATAGAATGTGGAGATTTGCCGTCTAATACAGATGACGGCATACGGTTAATAAGATGACAGGCAATAAGAACAGCATCACCCCAAAACCATTTAGGCATACGCATATGAAACAAAAGAGCACGGGTTACTTCTAAGAGGTGTCGATTCTTACGTTCTGCAACTCCATTTTGTTGAGGAGTATAAACACATGAATTTTGATGAATAATTCCTTTATCACAAAGATATGTATCAAAGAGGGTTTAAGAATATTCCTTAGCATTATCAGAACGTAGAATACGAATTGGGCATCCAAACTGAGTTTTGATTTCTTTTCGAAATTTTTGAAAAATTAAAAATAACTCAGAACGATCTTTCATTAGAAACAACCAAGTCAGGCGAGAATAATCACCCACAAATGTCACAAAATAATGAAATTTATTGATTGAAGAATGCTTTATTGGACCCATACATCTGAATGAACCAAATGAAAAGAACTAGAGACACGATTATTAACCTATACTTGAAAGACACGCGATGGTGCTTACTAAGTTGACAAACTTCACATGATAAGAATTTCAAATGACTAAGACTAGGAACTTGACGCTACAAAACTTGAAGTGACGGGTGACCAGGACGACAGTGCCACTGGAATGGAGACAGAGAAGACTGAAGAGCCACAGGATAAGGTTCCAAATCAAAGTAATATAAGCCACCAACTTCATCCCCCGTACCAATCTTCTTCTTCGTCTTGAGATCCTAAAACACACAAGAAGTAGGATAAAATGTAACAGAGCACTGGAGAGATTTAGTAAGCTTACTGATAGACATTAAATTAAAGGGAAACTGAGGAACATATAAAACAGACGAGAGAGACAAGGAATCACTAAGTTGAGTTGTCCCCAAACCTGAAACCTTAGTGGATGAACCATTAGCAAGAGTAACACTTTGAGAAGGAGGTACAGAATTAAAATCAGATAGAAGAGAAGAACATCCAGTCATATGATCAGATGCTCTAGCGTCTATGATCTAAGGACTGCGAGTGGAAGACAATAGACGTGTGTGCAGTACCTGACTGGGCAAAGGTAGCCATGGAAGATGAATTAGATGCTTGCTTATAAGACAAAAACTGAGGATACTCATCACGTGGAACAGGGACCGTATCTGATTCAGCTATGTTGTGAGATCCAGAAGCAACATCATTCGGAGAGGAGGAAACTTGATTTGCATAACTAGATGGTTTGCCATGAAGGTCCCAACAAAAATTCACAGTATGATTAGAAAGGCCATAATGAGTACATTTTCGTGATTCCCTGCCATGGCCGCGTCCTCCCCGTGAATCACGACCACCACATGTGGAGCGTCCCCCATGACCTCCACGGTAAGCATTATGTTCACCCTTTGAAACTACCAATGCTGAACGCTCACCACTCTGCATAGTATTCAAATTTGAGGTGTCACTTGCAAGTGTAACCCGCTGAAGTCGAGAAAACACATCAGCAAGAGATGGAAGTGTGGGACTACCCATAATCTGTGCACGAAAAGACTCATATGCTGATGACAAACCAGTAAGAAAACGAACAAGATTAAATTCCTCATGCTGTTGTTGCATACTTCGAACATTAGCAGTAATGAGCTGATACATATTCAGCTCCTCACAGACTCCCATAACTTTGGAATAATACTCTTCTATACTGTGATTACCTTGTTCAAGATTGAAGTACTGCTTATAGAGCTCATAAACACGAGTGATATTACCTGTCCCATAATACAATTGCTGCAATCTGTCCCATATCTCCTTGGCAGTATCCAAATAAAGTAAAGTTGAACTGATTTGGGGTTCAATTCTGTTTAACATCACAGAAATGATCCGAGCATCTTCCTTTTTCCCATGCATCAAAAGAAGCATCAGTTTCCTTGAGTTTATCTTTAGTCAGATGAGTACTAAAACCTCTACCTTTGAGAAAAATTGCAACAGATTTAGCCCACAGTATGTAATTCTTCCCATTGAATTTAACTGAAGTCATGGGAGAATGAAGACTGGATGTGGAAGAAAGCAAATCTGAACTAGACGTCATGTTGAACCCAGCAAAACAGAGAAGAAGAAAAAAAAATGCAGAATCTGTATTCTAGCCGAACCTAGAAAACGGGTCGGATCTGGGCAAACGGACCGGATCTAAGCTATCCCAGGTTTATTAAACCAGGGTTGGAATAGCTATCCTAGGTTTAGTAAACCAGGGTTGGAATAGCATAACCGTGTAGCCAAACACGGGTCTTCTTCTTAACACCTTCACAAACGCCGGTGAACAATGCAGTGGAGACGATGGCGACCCAGTCACAAGCAACGGCCAAATCAATAGGCAGCAACCTCTGCAACTTCTGGCCAAAAAAAATGCGAATCGATGAACCTCACCTCTGTAAATCAAGACGGTAGATGTCGGCGAGCTCGCTGACAACCAAAGAGGAGCTGCCGGCAATGACGAACGAGGCTTCAGATTTGACGACGGTGAACGAGGAGCTACCAGCGACGACGAACGAGGCAGAGACACCAACACCACAATCGAGATTCCAATCGCGATTCTGATCTTATACAAGAACAACACAATTACAGACTCTCACACCCATGAATTCGTGTAGCTCTGATATCAAGTTCAAAATCATGAGAGAGAGAGCAGACATTTACTTGTATATTCCACAAAACCCTAATAAGCCTATGTAGGCCTATATAAAGGATACAAGACTGACTTAATAACACAAGGGCCCTACCAACTATATGTAATTACATAATGACCCAACATATATATATATATATAACATTCTAACAATGTGCATCATGATCTCAGCCCAAGACTATAATTTTCCTTTGTTAAGCACAGAGCATAATTGGTTACTAAATTCAACAGAATCTATTTGATAAATTAGTGTTTGTGTCATTGAATGAGATAATATAAAACATTTTAATAAAGCACAAAATGAATCAGTGAACCTATTTGTGTCATTCAAAGAAACAATTCTTGATTTATTTACCAAAAAAGAATTCAGATTTTAATTTCACACAGTTCTCTTAATGTCATACAGATTCATCATTTATGAAATTTAATGAACTGTTACTTACAAAAAAATTCATGCTGTAAAGTTAAAACAAACCATTGGAAATGAAATGGTGGCAAAAACAATATACTAAAAAATTATTGCCCAGTTAAAAGGAAAATGCTAAGAATATCTAAAATATGTTCCAGCACATATAGCAAGTTTTTTGGGGATTGTATGCCCTAAAAGCCAATATTTTATGACACGCATTTAATGAATTTAATTCATTAGTTGAAAACATAAACATATATTGGGCATTGAAAACATAATTCATATATTGGGCATTGATATGTGTGAAAAATATCCTCAAGTTACATTATAGGAAACTAAGGTATATGAAGGGATTCATATACAGATAATGTAAGTGTTCTGGTTCTTGTAACTTGGAATGTTTACACTTCATTAGAAAGGTTGTAACACACATGACTCCCAGGAAGGTGGTCTATGTCAATCATCGGAGTAGTTAACTCTAAGTTAGTGTGTTTGTGTTTGAAATACAGTAAACAAGGCAGGTAATAAAAACACATCATATAAATTACTGTCACCATGATTAATGTGCTTTCTTATCTACTAAATGTGAATAGCTCTTAATTCTGAGAGGGCTGGTGGACTCAGTTTTCAATATTGTTGCTTTCACAGACATATGTGGGGTCAGTACCACGATATCTAGGGTGACTAGTATTGAACTTGTGACAACACAACACTCAATATGGAATTTCACTCTCTATAGAGAGTTAGATATCCCCATAAATCAATTTAGTAAGGTTGATCACCTTTTATTTTTTCCATCAAGTTAGAAAGGTTGATCACTTGTCGACATGCCGGAGTGGTTTTTGCAAAGTTTTTGCTAAAACGAAATTGTTTTAGCAAACATTTTATAACCTAAAGTTTTAGTAATAGCCCCTCTGCTCAGGCGGCTTGGAGGACTTATAGACCTACTCATCCAAAGGTCCCTTGGAGCTATGCAATTTGGTTTAAGAGCCATATTCCAAGGCACTCCTACATAGTCTGGCTGTCTGCTAGGAAAAAGCACAATACTAAGGACTTGCTGATTGCGAAGGCAAAGCAGCGATCTGGCTATTGTGTGTTTTGCAGATTAGTTACTGAATCTTTTGGGCATCTCTTCTTCCAATGCAAGTTTAGTTGTTCTTATGGACTCCACTTTCTCCTAGAGGTGGTATACAATGGATTGCACCTCTGATCTTAGGTCTTTGCTGGTTTGGGTTGCTTCTCATTTGAGGATGGGTTAATTAGTTGAACTGCTGTCTGTTTGTTGCTTTAATGTATATTTGTTTGGAAGGAAATAAACAATAGGACTGCTAAGCTCAAAATGTCCTCTAACAGAAGAGTTGAGGATTCACATACAAACAGAAGCTTGCAACTCATTTGGAACTTGCCTGACTCTGTATCTTCTTATATTGATGGCTGATGCCTTGTTTTGTTTCCTTTTAAGTTTGTTTTCTTTCTTCATTGCATAAAAACAGTCCTCATAGTTATATATGCTTATATCTATATAAGTTGATTGCTTCCCCAAAAAAAAAATAAAGAAGCAGCAAAAAATCATTTATTTTGGAAAATTCAATTGTGATTTTTTTTTTATTCAATGGTCATAAAGTTTAAATTGGGTAGCTCATAGAATATAAGAAGTAAATATGCCATTGGTGAGGCAATATAATCTTCCATGTGCTATTTATGGACATCGGTTAGTGCTAATTTGCAGATATTTAGTAAGTTAGGGCCTTGATGTATGTGTGTGTCTATATATATATATATTCTTTTTTATTCAAAGGTGAAATTACAGGAAAGATAGTGGTTTTATATGTATTATTCTCTTTAGCACACCAGAGAGAAGTTTGAGAGTCTTCTAGGCTAGTTGCCACAAACTAGAAGATCAATTTGTTGGTGCTTGGACTATAGAGGTAAAGAATCGATGGTTTTCATGGCATCTACATTAAAGAAGGAGGCCTAAGAGTGTGCTCATTAGGCAAACAAGTTAGGTATACTCTTTTTCAATTTCAAACTATTCGATATTAAACATGTGGCAAAGCTCTTTTATTTTATTTTTATGTTTCTGAAAGTTGTTTCTGTTTCATTCAAATTGCTTTTCTCCCTTCCTCTCCAAGGAGAGGGGAGATAATAAATCTCTTTGAATTTATGAAAATTTAGTTTAGGATCATTTCCGAGCATATCAAAGTAAACCTGAGACAATGATACGAAGACTAACCTGAATTGGGGAAGCAGTTCCAGGTCTTGTTGTAAACATTAATTGCCAGCGACCTTCAATTAAACTAGAGTTTGTCTGCATGTATTAAACATATATCAACATTAAATAATTAGCATATTATATATTTAACAAATTAAGAAAGGGTGTTTTCTCAATCCAAAGATAATGAATGCAAGGGTACTTCAATCCGACTAATTGATTGGGTGTTTTCTCAATCCAAAGATAATGAATGCAAGGGTACTTCAATCCGACTAATTGATTGGAATGAGAAAATTTAAAAAAATTAAAGAAATATATCAAACACAATCAGCATCACTGGCAAAGCATAATGACAGAATGAATGCCAGGTATAACTCTTAGATCAGTATATTGAAGCTCGATGTAGTAGAATTATTTGTTACCGTAAAATACATAAAACAATTTTCAGGAGATAAAAATACAGTAATGAATACATGCTTCACAATGTAAGTGTTTAATTCAATCCACATTTTCAGTTCTGACACTCGATCAACAACTAAGCTGCAAAAAGAAAAAGAGAAAACTAGGTTTTGGAGATAATCACAAACCGGATCAGGCACCCCTTCAAAACCTTCCAGGACTTTCACCGCACTTTCAACATCCTGAACAATTTTTATGCATCAAAATAATCAGAAAATCTCAAAAATTCATTAAAAATTTCAAGGCATAGAAACTGACCGAGAATCATAGTTTCTTTTCTTCTGCTTCGTTCTTTATTTTTCTTTGAAAACCAAAATGACACCATGCATAACCATTCCATATTTCATTTCTTCAATTTCGAAACTCTTTCTAATACATCAACAATACATTAATTTGAGAAATATATATATATATATATATATATATATATATATATATAGTGTGGAAATTGCAAAAAGATTGTACTTGGAGTTGCTGAGGAGAAGCAGATCGACCTCGTCCTTGAAGGCCGATTAGGGCTTCGATGAGTGAATTTTCTTGTTGAGTGAACAAAACCTCTTGTTGTTCATCTACGAGAGAACACGAAGGTGGGCGAAGAACAACGAATCTGCTGCGACTGCGAGAGGACTCGAAAGCTTGGCGAAATCGGAGACCGCGAGTTCTTGGATTGAACGGTGAGATCGCAGGCAATGGTGTCCATCGAAACCCTAGATTCGCTACTTCAATTGCGGCCATTGGAGATGGAGAGAGAGAGAGAGAGAGCTGCCTGGGCTTTGAGTGGCTTTATTCACTTGTGTTCATAAATCAACCGTCAGTGACCACTTCAACGAACTTGGATATTCCCATTTAATCTTTCTTGCCAGGTGGACTGGTCTGGAACGAACACGTGGAATATCAATGCCAGATTTGCATATCCAAATCATTTTCTAAATTTTGTAGAGAAAATTTTAGTTTATTAAATTTTAGAGAAATGTTAGGGGTTTAAATTCACAAATCGAGTTTAAACTAAGTTGGGTTCTCTCAAAACCCTGACGTACGGTTCGGGTTGGGCCAAATCCAACTCAAAATCCAAAATTTTTAAAAAAACTTTCATTATTTTTTTATTTTTGTACCTTCCAAATCTTTGATATATATATATATATATATATATATATATATACTATTAAAAAAATGTGCAGAGAGTTTTATTTTTTCAGTATTTATTTATTAATATAAAAAAATTATTAATTGATATAAAAAAAATTTTTATAAAAAAAAATATTTATTAATTGACATAAAAAGAGAATTACCTAATAAATTTCAAAATTAAATGTGCAAATAGTTTCAATGTTTCAGTATCTATTTATTAATATAAAAAAATATTAATTGATATAAAAAGAATTTTTATAAATAAAGATATTAATTAATTGATATAAAAAGAGAATTACCTCATAAAACTCAAATCACTATTTTCAAATTACCTAATAAAAATTCAAATTACCTATTTATCTATTTGTTTCTAAAAAAAAAAATTATACTATAATTAGAAGAGTTTCTATAAAACTCTAAAATAAAATTTAAATTACAAATTACCTAATAAAATTCAAATTACAAATTTATCTATTTGTTTCTAAAAAACTCTAACACAAAAATAAAAAAATATTTATTAATTGATATAAAAATAATTTTAAAATAATATCTTTTTTTCTCATATTATATATATATATATATATATATATATATATATTATTAAAAGTGTAAAGAGTTTCAGTGTTTATTTATTAAAATAAAAAATATTTATTAATTGATATAAAAAGAGTTTCTATAAAACTCTAATACAAATTACATATTTATCTATTTATTATGAGTTTTTTAATAAAATAAAATATAATTAGACAATAATTATTAATATAAAAAATATTTATTAATTGATATAAAAAATAAAATAACTTATCTAAAAGTCTACCACAAATTACCTTTTTTTATGAGTTTTTAAATAAATAAAAAATCTAATTAGACAAGAACTATTAATATAAAAAAATAGAGTTTGACGAGGCCGCTTGTATACGCCAAAATAATATAGTGAATGTGCGGTACAAGAAAAGTTTTTTATGTCAAGTTTAAATTTATAAAAACTACTACTACTAACGTAGTAAGAGTGAGTAGGGATCGTTCCAAGGGATTATACGTGTTGGAATTTAACTTTGACTCTAGCGTATTAATTGATTGCAAATAAAGAGATTGGTTGATTAAACTAAGACGCAATTAAAATGCAATTAAAGTAAATTAGTGAGAGATAGGGATTTAAGAGATATGAATAGAGGTCTTAGGGTGTTGGAATGACCACTAAACTCATGTAATTAACCACGTGCTTTCCATTAACGGGGAATACATTGTTGTGAATAAAATGCGACTACCAATTACAATATTAAGCATGGACCATCAAATTCATGTATGAATTGTCTACCTAACCAACAAACAAACTAAGTGTAGAACAACCCATCAAATCTAAGCATGACCCATCAAACTAGTCACAATTGTAACACACATCAATCTAGAGAATCATGGAGTTTGTAATAACAAGCCAAGGAATGTCAACTCAAGTATAAGTTGTCTACCTACTACAAACATGAGTTAAATTGTAGAACAACCCATCAAGCATAAGAATAATCCATCAAATTAATTGACAAACCCATTCAATGAAAACCCATGCTTAGTCATCACTAAATCCTTAATTAATCACACATAGACATGCAACCAATATAGAGAATCTAGTATAGAGATCAATTCCCTAAATAATCCCATATAATACAACATGTAATCAAATAGAGAATCAATAGAAATAATTAATCCATATGAATCATGTAAGAAATAATTCCCAATTTAATCACACATAGACATGTAAATAAACTAGAAAATTAATAGGAAGAATTAAACCATAGAAATCATATAAATATACCAAGATTCATTAAATTCACAAGGCGAGAACACTAATCACAACAATATATATAAATCCCTAAAAATAGAAATATAAGGGTTTAGATTACACAAAACTTAGGGCTCATCCAAGCCCTAAGTGTAGATCTAGCCAATCATGGAGGAGGTAGATGTGGTCATGAAACCCTCAAGGGTAAGCTCCAAACATGGCTCCATCTTCTTCTTCCTCTTATTCTTCTTCTTCTTTGAAGCTCTAGAGAGAGAGTGTGTGTGGATCTAGAGATGGGTTCTTGAAATGTGTCTCCACTTCCCTCTTTTCTTCTAACCCTAATCTCTAACTTTCTAGAGAGAGAAACTAAAGAGAATATATAAATTAAAATCTAAAATATGAATCTCCCTACAAAAATGGTTTAATATCTCATATATACAAGGCTTTGGGAGCCCAAAAATGTGAAAACTCAGCCTTAGAATCGTCCCTTTGAAGCACAGCCCGAGTTGGGTCCAAATGAGATTCAAATCTGCTTTTTAATAACTTTCGTGAATAGTTCGATCGATTCAACTTTTCTTCGATCGATCAGAGAAAGTTCGATCGATCCAAAATAAGTTCGATCGATCAGAAATAATTTGGATCGATCAGAAATAAGTTGGATGGATCCAACTTGGCAGATTTTCAGCATCAGCCTCCTTTCGCTCCAAATGCTCACCAAGACTTAGTTTTGACTCCAAAAAGGTTGTAAGAAACCATTTTTAGCCTATTTTAACATTATTGACCTAAAATAGATAAAAACACAAATAAGTACTAAAACGGGTAAATAAAGATAGATGAATGGACTAAAATACCTAAACTTAAGGGGTTTAAATGTGCACTTTTTAGCGCTTATTATACACCCAAACTTAAATATTGCTAGTCCTTAATAATGAACTATAAAGTAAAGGAATGAAATGAACAACTATACAACTATGAACTAGAAAATAATAAATGGATAACGCCACTTTTGTAGGGAATACGATTGCATTTAGCATATGCAACAAGCCTTTTCAACCCCTAGGTTACCCCTAGTGGACGAGTGAAGTCTTGTGAGGGTTTCCAGAAATGATACCCACAAACATTAAGCTCATTCTTTCAAAAGAGGCACCAATATTGCAAACAAGCATTGGGAGAAAACTACCTCAAGTATACAATTTTTCAACCCTTTCCAAGCAATCTCCCAAAATTTCAACATCAAGAAAGCAAGTATGGTCCTCTACACATCAAGAAAATTATCATGAAAATCAAAACAACTCTAGAATCCTTTTTGAGTGGACCGGCATCAAGTATGTTGCTATCTTAGCTAACTAAAGAAATGATCACATCCTTACCCTCAAACTAGCACACAAATCTAGTACCGATCATCAAGATAAAAAGTGAACCTTTTATTAAAGCTTTATTGTTCTAGGTGCGCTCATTTTTTTCACTCGATTTTTTTTTTTTTTTTTTTTAAGGATCAAAGATGGAAACATAGTGCAATGTGTTGATCTATTAAGCTTTCTAGCGATCTATGAGGTTCAGCGTTAGGTCAATGACTTCTAAACTAGACGGCTTTAGGGCACTAGGTGTTCAAACACCCCTAAGGACTTACAAGCTCAAATCAACTAGGCTACAAATCAAGACAACCTCCATCTAATCATTTCCCACTTCTTACCGTTTTTGGAGAAGTCCTCACTTTTTTATTGCTTTTGTAACACTTTTTTTTATTTTTTTATTTTTATTTTTTTTAAGCAAGTTCAATTATTAACCTAGAGTTTGGGCCCTCCACCTTTCGGTGAGAGAAGTTCAGTACTTGATAAGGCTAGAATCCCGGCTACTTAGTGAAAAGGGATTGTTACCCACCTTTATCAAAATGAAAGCTTTCAATGCACTACTAGTTCAATTGGGATATAATCAATTCAATAATCAATAAAGCATGTACCCCACAAATGAATGCTAGTGTATGCCTATGCCAATGTAGAACACTAGAGTGATTCTCAAAATAATCACAAAATCAGGATGATGTGGACCACAAGTGCAAGCATGCTATCAATCTTTCGGAAAATTTACTCTTAAATGGCATTCACAAGGCATACAAGGAGTATTGAACTCTCAAGTCAAGCAATTTTTAAATTTTAAGCAATATAGTCCTCAAAAGATCAAAATCATAGCTAGTTATGGACCAATCATAGAAAATTCCTCAAATACACAAGTCATGCTCAAAATTTTGAATTGAAAGCAAATACTGTAACTAACACCATTACCCTCCAAACTTAAATGGCACAATGTCCTCAATGTGCAAAGAGAACAAAGGATAGGGTATACCAGTGCAGCTAAGCAAAGAATGGCTGGGATACAAGTATCCAAAGTAGGTGGCATAGCCCCCCCAAACTTGGGATTAACTGTGGTCCTAAAAAGATGACACTAGATAAAAGTTCATTAGACAGCAAATGGGATAATAATAGTGCACAGTGGACATGCAAGTGTAAATGGGATAAAAAATTGAAGTAAGGAGAGAGGAAAAAGGGTGGTCCTGAAAATTCGGGCAGTACTCTCTCTCACTGAAGTCACTGGGATTCACCTGATGGAGTCAATCACAGACAGATATATCAATACGCATATATGACATCCATAAACAAAGTATGCATAAAAGAGAAATAAAGAATAGTACAGTACATCCAGTGTCTAGGCCAACAGACTGGCAGCAAGTATAAAACAGTATAAAAAATATGACAGATATCACAGATATATAATAAGAGAAGAAGATATGGAAATATCAAGTGGATGAGGAAGGACGGGCAGGGCATGCTCTGCGGATGTCTCTAGATAGATCACGTAATGCAGCTATGACATTCGTGCAGAGTGAAGCAATA